GCCTCAGCTGCAGGCCGTTCAGTGCTTGGGCCTTGGATTTTCAGAGGCGTCCTGAGAACACGGCCGTGGCTGCATCCGGTGCATGGCCAGCTGGGCAGCCGGAGCCTGAGGGCAGTTATGACCTCCTCTCTCCTCCCATGCAGGGAAGCAAGGGGGACCCTGGCCCCGTGGGCTTCCCCGGCGAGAGTGGCGTAGCAGGAGCCCCTGGGCCAGCTGGACCCCAAGGACCTCCCGGGCCCCCGGGCCCCCCCGGGCCACCAGGACCAGGACTTGCTGCTGGATTTGTGAGTCTCCTCCCCACCCCCCAGACCCCAGAAAGCCTGGTCTGCCGCCCCGTGCTGCCTCCCCACCCCGGCGTCCCACCAGAGGGCACATGGGTACCAGCCCTGCTGTGGGTGCAGGACAGGCTGGCCTGGAGCTGGACGTGGGCCTACACCCCGCTGCCCAGGGATGCTCCCGAGACCACACGCCTGGGCCATCCCCACCACGTACATGACGGCAAGGCTGCTGGTGGGGCGGGGGTGACCTGGTTGAGCCGCACCCCAGCTCGTGCTCAGACCACGAGCAGTACGGAGTGGCAGGATGGGTGTCCGCAGGCCGGGGTCCCAGCCTCAGCCTGCATAGGGCAGCTGCTTCCCTCGGGGAGGAGCGCAGGCCAAGTGCCCCTCGTCTGTCTCCCCCAGGAGGACATGGAAGGCTCGGGGGGACCCTTTTGGCCGACGGCCCGAGGCACTGAAAGGCTGCAGGTACGTACGCCCAGGGCCTGGGCAGAGGGGGGCCTGTGACTGTTAGGACGTCCCAGGAGGTCAACCTGGTCTCTGAAGTGGGGGCACCGTGGCGGCAGGGTCAGGGGCCCTGCACCATCAGTGTGTCCTGTGGCTCTGTGTGCAGACGCAGCACATGCGCGGCCTGACAGGTTTGTGGAAGGCGCTCGTCTTCATTCTGTCTTCGTGAGGCTTTTGGGGACCCTGGTGTTTGGGCAGAGGCGTGGCGGAGCGGGCATGGGTTGGTGGAGCTCCCATCTGTCCTGCTGGCAGCGAGGCCCTGCGGGAGAGCAGATGTCAGCGTGGCCCGTGCTTGGACACGGCATGTGTGCGGCCAGCTCCAGGGGCACGTGGGAGCACACACCCACAGCTTTGAACCCCAGCATCCTGGTCCCGTCAGCGACTCAGCTGCTGAGGGTGTGGGATCGGGTGGCTTCCTTGCTTGGAGAACTTGAACGCTGATACAAGCCGTAGCCAGCCAGGGGGTCTCACACCTGGCCCAGCGCTTTCTCCACCTCTGCACCAAACCTGCTGCAGCCAGCACTGAGGTGGGCAAAGAACGAGGCCCCTGGACCAGGGTGGGACGATCTGGGCCGGAACCCCACACCAGCACCAAGGGCAGCGCCCGTGGATCAGCCACATCACCCGTGGATCAGCCACATCACCCTGGGGGCACCCAGCAGCACACCCGCCGTGCAGCGGCCTTGGGTGTCCAGTGAGGTGCACGTCCTGTGTTTGGGTCGGGCTCGTGGGCGACTCCGCGGACGGACCCCGTACCCTGCTTGTGGAATTCCAGGCTGCGCTGGCTCCCTCGGGGAAACCTGGGTTTCCTCCTGTGCCCAGTGGGGCTGTGACTCCGCGGAGGGCTGATTTTCTCGTGGGATACAGTGCCTTCCAGCGGGGCTGGTTGCGCTAACACCTCGTTCCTCTGTCTGGCAGGGACCACCTGGACCCCCAGGACTCAAGGTCAGTGAGCGAGACGCCCGGTCTCCTTGGTTTTTGAGCAAGGGAGTAGCACAGTGCATCCTGGGAGTTGTGTGAAATCAAAGCATGGTGGGAGGACCACACCTAGCCCTTAGCTGGGGGTGGGGCTGCGCCCCCTCTTCCAGCGTGAATCATGGGCTCTAGGCAGGGGATGCACCCCGAGCTCTCTGTGGCCCATGCCACCCCCCCAGGCAAGTGGACCAGGGCGGGAGGACCACCCAGGACTCTGCCACTGGGCGCGAGCTCGGGCCTCTGGCCCGCGGGGTCTGACTCTGGTCCAGGCAGTGTCTCCAGCGGCCCCTGGGGCGGCACAGACCCCTCGGGGGTGTCGAAAGCCGAGGTCTCAGAGGGTGCTTGGCAGCTGGGAGATGGCTGAAGTGCCGGCTTCTCAGAGCAGCACCTGTCTCAGCGGTCACACCCCAGACCCCAGCACCTCTGCTCAGGCCACGCCACGCTCCTCACAGTCTCCATCCATCTAGGGGGACCCTGGAACGGCTGGGACACCTGGAGCCAAGGTAAGCACCTGTGTCAGGCTTGGGACATGGGATCCTGGGGGAGGGGCAGACAGGGCCCCAGCACAGGCCGAAGCCCCTCCGAGCCCCCATAAAGGGTCCCCCATAAAGGGGACGCCAGTGGGCCCCAGGGGCCGGCCCTGGGCACAGAGGGTCAGGTCCACCCGCTCTGGGTGGGATCCATCACATCCTCACTCTTTTCTCGACCTGCCTGTGTCGGGTGATTCCCAGAGCGCCCCCAGCTCCCCCAGGCCTGCTGAGTCCTGAGTGAATCACTCGGGTGCACCTGGCTGCCCAGGCCACCTCTGGCCCCTCTCCCACCTCTCCCCGTCCGTCACCTGCCCACAGGCCCCAGCAGGCTGAGCCAGGGACCAGCAGAAACCTGGGCCGTGGTCACGACCGTGGACACCAGGGCTGCTTCCTGGGGCCACGCCGCTGACGCGGGTTCCTGTGTCTGTTCCAGGGAGAAGTTGGAGCTGACGGAGCCCCCGGCTTCCCAGGCCTTCCTGGGAGAGAGGGTGCTGCTGGGCCCCCGGTGAGCGGCTGCAGTGAGGCCTGAGACCCCGGAAGGACCACATGAGGAGGAACCTGGGGTCTCCCGAGCCTGTGCCCGCCCAGGGAGCGGAACTGGAGTCAGGCCAGGGACCCCAGTGGCCGCCTCCCCACGCCATCCCTTCCCCGCCCACCTCCACTTTCCTTTCAAAGCCGTCCCTGGGTCTGGGGTCTCCAGGAGGGGGCTCCGTCTCCATTTCTGACAACCACTTCTGTCTGCAGGGACCCAAAGGAGAAAAGGGGAGTCAAGGAGAAAAAGTGAGTGGGGGGCTGGGGGAGGGGGGCTGGGGGCAGAGACGGGGAGAGAGTGTGGGGGCCTGGGGGGAGTGGGGGCTAGAGGGGAGAGTAGGGGGCTAGAGGGGAGTTGGGGTCTGGAGGGAGATTGTAGGGGGAGAGGAAGGGGGGCTGGAGGGGAGGGGGCTGGGGAGAGAGTAGGGGGAGGGGAGGAGGATGGGGGGGAGAGGCGGCTGGAGAGGGTGTGAGTTCGGGGAGCGTTGGAGGGAGTGTGAACATCCTGGGGGTGACTGGATGGGACGTCCCTGCGTGGCTAGGCCTCAGGGTGCTCCCCTCGGGTCCACACCCTGCCTGCCACCCGCCACCACCCACCACCACTCAGAGCCTGGCACCGAGACCAGCGGCGGCTCCAGGCTAGGGTGCAGCATGAGGGGGTGGTCCCTGATGGGAGCGAGGGTCTGCTGGGTGCCGTAGCGGCCTCCCCACTGCGGGCTCTGGGGCTGGGCCAGAGCAGCGGTGACCAAGTGCCTTGTCTTCCAGGGAGACCCAGGGAAGGACGGAGTGGGGCAGCCCGGCCTGCCCGGGCCCCCTGGACCCCCGGGGCCTGTGGTCTACGTGTCGCAGCAAGATGTAAGGGCATGGGCTGGGCACCGAGGCGGGGGCGTCCCTCGACCACGCAGCCCCCGGGGGCACGGGCAGCCTGACTGCTGGCTTCATCCCAAGAGGCTACCACACGCCACCTCTTGGGGACACTGCGTGGTGTCCTGAGCTCGTGGCCCTCAGGAAGTGGCTCCGCCGCCACCTGCTGGGACCTCCCCTGGCCACTGCTTTGTGGATGTCAGGCAGCAGGACTTGGGTCGGTTTTAAACTTGATTTTCTCTTCCTTTCTGCTGTGTTTTTTCTGCCGTTAGGGAGCAGTGGTGAGCGGGCCGGGACCGGAGGTGCGTGCCCCTGCTCCCGAGACACCCGGGGTCGGGCGGCTGGGCAGTGCCTGGTGCTCCCCGAGGGCCCAGCGGCCCCAGACTGACGCCGTCCCTCTTTCCACAGGGCCGCCCAGGCTTTGCAGGCTTCCCTGTAAGTAGCTGCGCTCCGAGCAGTGGGGTGGCTGGGAGAGGTCTCTGTCCCCACAGGGCAGCCACGTGAAGCTGTGCAGGGCTTGACGGCGGGACGTTGCTGGGCGCCCCGGGCTCAGCAGAAGCTGGGAGTCCAGCTGGGGTCTCCCGTGGGGCGCAGCCCTGCGCTGCGACTGGTCAAGACCTGTAGGCCAGGGTGTTACCAGGAAGCACCCCAAGGAGGGTGTGCGATCACCAGGCCCCTCAGCCTACCTGGTCTCCACTGCAGGGACCTGCTGGGCCGAAAGGTGACCTGGGCTCCAAAGGCGAGCAAGGCCTCCCGGGACCCAAGGTGAGTGCTGGGCGGGCGGGCTCACAGCCTCCCCGCTGCACGCGCAGCTGAAACCCCAGGGGACCCGAGGCACACCAGTCCCCATCTGTCCTGGCCCCCGGACCTGTCACTCGCACGGAGCCGTGACCGGAGCAGGTGACCGTCCCACCGGGCCTGTGCCTGTCTTCACCAGGACCCAGCCTCGAGGCCCTGGTCACAGGGGCCCCTTGGGAGGGGCAAGGACCCCCATTTCTGTCTCCAGGGTCCTGTGGGGGGCCCTTCGTGGGAGGGGCATCTGATGCATGACCCCCGCTGGGACCCCCACCCTGCCATTCCAGGGTGAGAAGGGGGAACCCGGCAGCATCGTCAGCCCTGATGGCCGAGCTCTGGCCCCCGCCCAGAAAGGAGCCAAGGTGAGGGCCGCAGCCCCTTGTCCGCCGGGGCGTGGGGAGTCTGGGAGCCTTGGAGATGGGCCTAGTTCCTCTCCCGAGTGGGTTCTGGAACCTTCTACATGCAGCCTGGGTTCTATCGCCCTTCTCTGCCCACCTCTGGTAGCCGCACCCTGTGAGCCACTACCCCCAGAGCCCACGCTGGGAGGCAGAGGGACTGGGGCCCCACGCCTGCACCAGCTCCCCTGCCCGCGCTGGGCCCTCCTGTGCGAGAAGGGGCCCCGGGTGCCAGCTGCAGCCACCCTGCTGGCGGCAGCCCCCGGGGAGCCAGAGCCTCCAGGTGGGTGAGTGTGGGCTGGGGGAGGGGCCCAGGGGGCTGTGCCTTCCCCACCCCGGCTTCTTTACATCTGAGAGGGCCCGGGGTAGCCCAGCCAGGATGTCACAGGGCAGGGCCCCGGCTGGCCCATCTGTGCACTCACCTAGACTCATCCCGGGCCCAGAACCTTCCCCTGCAGGCGTGTCCTGCCTCCCCTGGGGTGCAAGGCCCCTGGGGTGGCAGCCGGTGGGGGCTGGGCTGCGGCTGCCTGACCCTGCCTCTTGTTTCCCATTCAGGGCGAGCCGGGCTTCCGAGGACCCCCGGTGAGTGGGACACACTTCCTTTGTGCACCGGGTGCTGTGGTCGCCTTGGACACATGTGGGGCTGGCTGTGGGGCCAGCAGCACGGGGGCTTCTCCCTGTGTGGCTTCGGACCCCCACCCAGACTCAGCGGGGCAGGGCGGGGGCCCCCACGGCCTCTGCTCACCCCCAGGCTCTCCCTCCCTGCAGGGCCCGTACGGACGTCCTGGGCACAAGGGCGAGATCGGCTTCCCTGGGCGGCCGGTGAGGACGGGGGTGTCTGGCGGGGCCTGGTGGGTAGAGGGGGCCCAGGGCAGGGCAGCTCTCTTCCCCGTGTGGCAGAAGGGACATTCTGGGCCTTCCAGACAGGAGGGGCCGTACCCCAGAGGAGGCTGGGTGGGGACAGGAGCTATGGGGCCAGTCCCCTCCCCAAAAGGGTTCCCGGGCAGGAAGCAGCCGAGCAGGGCTGGAGCAGGCTGGTTAGGAGCCGCCAAGGGCAGGCGCTGGGGACCCCAACCCCTCCCGCCCCTGTGCTGTGTCCCAGGGCCGCCCCGGGATGAATGGATTGAAAGGAGAGAAGGGGGAGCCGGGGGACGTCAGCCATGGACTTGGCATGAGGGTGAGTGTCCCATGGGGTCGGGCAGGGTCCTGCAGCTCATCTGAGCAGGGCTGCTTCCATGTGACCACGCCCTGCTGGTCCTGACACACTCACACGTGGGGGTGCACACACACCTACATGTGTGCGTACACATGCATGCTTATGTGCACACAGTACACACACACCTCTGCATGCTTGTGTGTGTGCCTTCACACATGTGTGCAACACGCCTCTGCGCACACAGGTGTATGCACTGGCGTCTGTGTGTGCACACGTGCTCACGTGCGCACCACACAGAGCCCCAGTCCCCCAGGACCCGAGGACCTGGGCATGCCCCTCCACGGTGGCTCCCGTCAAATCCAGCAGTGACTGCTGCTTCGTGAGCCCCGCGTTTGTTCTCGTGAGCGGTGGGGCCAGGCATTCCCCGAGGCTGTGCCGTGGAGCACGAGAAGACGCACAGCCCCAGGGGGGTGGCTGCTCTGGCTGCCCCTGAGGTCCCACCCTCCCCCAGGTGCAGGACGGGCGGGAGGCCCGTTCCGGCCGGCCGGACATGCGGTGGGAGGGAGGCCCGTTCCGGCTCCTCAGCCTCGGTGGAGGCTGCTTCCTCCTGGCTCACGGCCTTCAGGGCAGGGCTTCTCATGCGGTTTGCCCCTCCCATGAGCAAATCCGCCAGCCCCGTGATGCTTCCCACGCTAAGGCCTCTTAACTGGGCGCTGTCGCCCCGGCGCAGTCATCTCGGGGCTCCAGGTGCTCAGCTCCCACCTGAGGGCAGGAGAGCCTCGCCGTGCCCTCTGGGAGCCGGGGACCCGTGTGCTCTGGTCCTGTTGTGAATGACCGGCTCAGTGATCTGCTGATGTCCAGCGATGCCCCCACTCACAGCGCTCTCTGTCCCCCACGCAGGGAATGCCCGGCCCCCCAGGGCCCCCAGGGCCCCCAGGCCCCCCCGGGACACCCGTCTATGACAGCAACGTGAGTCACCCATGTTTCATGCCCCCTCTTGGGAGCCCCGCCTTCCTCTCCCCATCCCCAGGGGCCTCTGGGATGCATCTGGGACAGTGGGCAGGCAAGCCCTCGGGGCTGCAGCCAGTTCAGGCCGGAATGATGAGGACTCCTACATGCCTGAGCCCGGAGGGGGCTGGGTGGGTGCGCCCATTTTACCAGGCCTGGGAGGTGGGGTGACCCTGAAAGGCAAATGTGTCATGACCAGGACTCTCGACCATAGGTCTGTATCTCCTACCTCCACCCCATCTCTCTGGAAGGGGTGCCAGGCCCCCAGTCTGGGGAGGGGGTGCCAGGCCCCTGGTCTGGGGAGGGGGTACCAGGCCCCCAGTCTGTCTGGGGAGGGGGTGTCAGGCCCCCAAGTCCGGGGAGGGCACCATGGGGCCTTGCAGAGGTGGTCGGAGTTTCCGGGCTGGGCCTGGTGGCCGTGGCCCCCAGCACTCTGTCTTTCTCTGCAGGCGTTTGTTGAGTCTGGTCGCCCCGGGCCCCCAGGACTGCCAGGTGAGGCTCCCGTGGGGACGCGTGCTCCAGGGTGGGGACGAGCAGCCCCCACACCACCCTGTGCTGACCTGGGTGCGGGCCCTTGAGTGCCCTGCACGTCCGTCTCACCCCACCCCGGCCAGGCAGGACGTGACGCCCTCGCTCCTGAGCAGGGGTAGCAGCAGCCCCCTCCTCCCTAGGCCGCTCTGCCCACCACATCCGTCTGACGCCCCTCCCTGGTCCTCACATCCTGAACACACAGCGCCTTGGGGGTCAGGAGCATGTGGGGGCGGGGCCCTGGATGAGCACCCCACAAAGGGCAGGGGTCTCTTCCTTCAGGGCTCCAGGGACCTTCGGGACCAAAGGGTGACAAAGGAGAAGTAGGCCCCCCGGGACCAGCAGGTGAGCTGCCGGCGTGGCCCCAGCCCCGGAGGGAGGCAGCCCCTGCCTGGGTCATGGAACCCTGATGACACCTGGATGTGAACACCTGGTCAGCCTCCCAGCCACAGGCCCAGGCTGGGCAGACCCCGCAGGATGTCCCATCATGCCCTGTGGGGGAGGGGCATGGCTACCCCTCCACAGCCCAGGGCCGGGCCCTGCTGGGCACCTCCGAGAGGAGGCAGCACCGCTGTGGGCTGGTCCCAAGGGGCATGGGTGGCCAAGGGTCAGCAGCCATGGCCCCTGTGTCCAGGGCGTCACCAGGGGCTGTGCCCACCCGACGTGGACTCTGTGCTGAATTCCGCAGCCTGGGCGGCCGGGCTGCTCGCCTGACAGCCCCTGCCTGCTGGCGGGAAGCTCGCCCCGGCTGCCGACCCTGCGGTTGCCTGTCCTGGGCGGGCGGCGGCAGCACTGCCCTGAGACCCCAGCCTGGCCTCTCCCCCTCCCTCTCTGCAGGGCAGTTCCCGTTCGACCTCCTCCGCCTGGGGGCTGAGATGAAGGTGGGTGGCGTCGTGGTCCAGCCCGGGGAGGGAGGCTCCTGAGGTCCCTGGCAGGCAGCTGGCGTCCTCGGTGGAGTGGGCTTTGCCTGTCCCAGCCACCTTCTTCCTGATGCGGGCCGCAGAGCCCCGTCCTGCAGGGTGGGAAGCCCAGGCCACCTCTGACCAGCATTTCCACCCACAGGGCGAGAAGGGGGACCGAGGGGACGCTGGACAGAAAGGCGAGAGGGGCGACCCTGGGACCGGCGGCTTCTTTGGCTCCAGCGTGCCCGGCCCTCCTGGTCCCCCCGGCCCACCGGGCTACCCCGGGATTCCGGTAAGTCCGGCCCCGGCCAGCCTGAAGGTGCCGTGGACGGCCCCGGAGCTCCGCCGCCCCTCGCGGTCCCCTGGCTTTGCCCCTGGGATGGGAACCCCAGGGAGCCGTGGCTCCGTGTGTGCCTGGGGCACGGGGCGGGCGGGGCACACGTTGGGGCACCTCGGCTCCACGGTGAGGGGCGATGGTGTGGACTGGACCAGGTTTCCCAGGCAAGGAGGTGACCCGTGGCTCGGAGGCCTCGTCCACTGTGTGCCTGCCCCCACTCTGGGGACCTGCGTCACGATGAAGCTTGTTTTGTCGTTGTCCTTAGGGTCCCAAGGGGGATAGCATTCGGGGCCAGCCCGGCCCCCCTGGACCGCAGGGACCCCCTGGCATCGGCTACGAGGGGCGCCAGGGCCCTCCTGGGCCCCCGGGACCGCCCGGGCCCTCCTCATTCCCTGGCCCTCACAGGCACAGTAAGTCTACAGGCCCGGCTGGTGGCCTCCCCCGCCACCGTGTGGCCCTGTGGTCCCATCCCAGTTTCTTTCCTGTAGCTGTCAGCATTCCTGGCCCACCAGGCCCACCCGGTCCCCCAGGACCCCCGGGAACCCTGGGCGCCTCCTCAGGCGTAAGTATCCTGGCCCCCACTCCCTGTGCCCCCAGACACGTCCTGTCCAGCCGGGGGCCACGTGAGCTCTGGTGTCCACAGTGGAAGTGGGGTGGGGGTGGCCAGGTCCCAGGGCTCAGGCACCTCGAACCTCTGTCCCCCTCTTGCCCAAGGCAGCCCCAGAGAGGCCCCCAGCCTGTCCGGCCCCGGGTCACGGCAGGCCATGCCAGGCAGCGGGGCCCACACCGGGTTTGGGTTCGGCAGGTGAGGGTCTGGGCCACCTACCAGACCCTGCTGGACAAGGTGCACGAGGTGCCCGAGGGCTGGCTCCTCTTCGTGGCCGAGAGGGAGGAGCTGTACGTCCGCGTCCGCAGCGGGTTCCGGAAGGTGCTGGTGAGTTCTGCAGCGCCGGCCCCTTGGCACGCCCGCTGTGCTCTCAGACGAGCTGGGGGCGGCCCCAGGACCTGCCCTGCGCACACAGCGACTGTCACATGTAGGGGGCTGCCACGGACATTCACCCAGGCGCCACCCACACCCGCGCAGCAAGGCCGCTGGCACCCAGGGGGCCCCTGTGCTCAGCACCTGCCCACTGCCACAGGTCCAGTGTCCTCAGCACCAGGGGATGCACCGTGGCTGCCCCGTGCAGGTCCTGGATGCACACTGGGGGCCTCTCGGCCGTGGTCGGCCCTCCCTGCACCCCCAGGATCTGCCATGGGGACCCCTAGGGAAGGGCCTCCTTTAGGTGGCAAACGTGACAGGCGAGGCCCAAAACGGCCATCACGCCCTCGGCGCCTCCATCAGCACCCGGGACCCCGAGTTGACTCAAGTTGAGCTCCTCCCTGCTGTCACCGTCCCCTCACCAGCCCCCGGGGCCTGACCAGACCCTGCTGTGCTGTGGGCACGCAGTGCCGGGCCCTTCCTCTGGCCAGGGCAGGCTGCCCGCCCTGGCTCCCGGGGCTCCTTCGGGGGGAGGCCCAGGCCAGAGCTTGCTGGAGTGACCCCTGCTCTTTCCTTCCAGCTGGAGGCCCGGACGCCTCTCCCGCGAGGGACGGTAAGGAGTGCTTTGTGTTGGGACATCTGAGACAGGGACAGCCAGGACACGGGTGGGGCGTGCTGGAGCCCAGGGTGTGGGACCCAGGTCAGTCCACGAGGGAGGAGCCGGGGTCACCAGGACAGGCAGGCACCTCCCTCTCAGCCGGCCACCGCCCAACCAGAGCGTCCACCACCCTCCCCGGGCTCCACGCGCCCTGGACCCGAGTCTTGGACCCCCGGCCTGCGGGCATCAGCACATCCTGGGTGGACGGTGCTGCTCCCTTGCTTTGAAATCCCGGCAGGAGCAGCGCAGGAGGGAAGAGGGCTCATTTCGGGGATTATTCTGGAAGTTAACGGCCCAAGACCCGGCAGCCGCAAGCAGCAGGCAGAGGCGGATGTGGGCGGCGCGCTCTGCCTCTTCAGCCGTGCTCTCCTGCCATGGCCAGCCGAGGTTCAGTCGTGGGGCTCTAGCTAGCAACCCCCAACCCACGCCAAGCCCCCCTTCAGACGCAGGGCAAGTCACCCTCTGATCCAGGGCCACGGGCATTCACACGTCAGCTGCTAACATGAGACTCGGTTCAAACCGGACACACCAGGCGGGTGGTTTGCCGGGTGCAGCAGCAGATGGAGGGAGACGTCTACATCTCCCCGAGAGCCGCCTGTGCAGGGGGCCCCTGGGGGTGGGAGCCCAGTCAGAGCCGAGTCAGGCCTCCATGCAGTCACGGCCCCCGGGACGCGGCTGTGCCAAGGCAGACGGCCCAGCAGCAGGCGGGGGCTGGGGTTCGGACCCGGATGGAGCAGGAGCACAGGACCTGAGACGTTGCTGCTGCTGGCGGCAGGAGCCCTGGGATAGGCAGCAGAGTGCAGGCAGCAGGAGGCCTGGGCCAGCGGGGTCAGGGGCCGTGAGGGTGTCCCCACGCACCCCAGGGGCGGGGGACAGCACCCTTCCTACAACAGCCCCAAGGAGTGCAGGTGGAGGTGGCGTCCCAGGTGGGCAGCCTTGCCCACGGGCACCCTGGTCTCTCCACTCGCAGGACAACGAAGTGGCTGCCCTGCAGCCCCCCGTGGTACAGCTGCAGGAGGGCAACCCCTACCCCCGTCGGGAGCACTCCTACTCCACTGTGCGGCCCTGGCGGGCAGATGACATCCTGGCCAACCCCCCACGCCTGCTGGACCCCAAGCCCTACCCCGGGGCCCCACACCACGGCGCCTACACACACCTCCAGCCCGCCCACCCCACGCCCTTGCCCGTGCACCTCCACCAGGACTTCCGGCCGGTGGTGAGTGCCCCTCAGCCCTGACAGTGGCTATCAGTCCAGCCCAGCACCTGTCACTGTGGCCGAGGAGCAGTCTCTGCTCGGGTCTTGGAGGCCACGGGACAGCAGAGGTGACAGCACTGGGCCGGGAGCCCTGGTGGAGCCTCAGCTGCTCACAGGGCAGGGTGGTGGGGCCACCCCCGGGTGGGTGCACAGCGCCCGAAATCCCCCCGCTGCTGAGGCTGAGGGGCCTGGCCAGCCGGGGGCCCGGGCTTGGCTCTGACAGGCGGCGCATTTCCCCTCAGCTCCACCTGGTGGCGCTCAACAGCCCCCTGTCGGGCGGCATGCGGGGCATCCGCGGGGCCGACTTCCAGTGCTTCCAGCAGGCGCGGGCCGTGGGGCTGGCCGGCACCTTCCGCGCCTTCCTGTCCTCGCGCCTGCAGGACCTGTACAGCATTGTGCGCCGTGCCGACCGCGGGGCGCTGCCCGTGGTCAACCTCAAGGTGCGTGGGCCTGTCCTGGGGACCGGGGCGCCCTGTGCCCGCCCCCTGGCCAGTCACGAGCCCCACCCGTGTGTCCCGCAGGACGAGGAGCTGTCCCCCAGCTGGGAGGCCCTGTTCTCAGGCACCCAGGGCCAGCTGAGGCCGGGAGCCCGCATCTTCTCCTTTGACGGCAGGGACATCCTGCGGCACCCAGCCTGGTGGGTCATTCCCCCCTCCCCTTCCCCGAGACCCCCAGCAGGAGGTGTCCTGTGACTTCAGCGTGGCCCCCGAGGCTGCGGCTTGGAGCTGTGCTCACCCCATGCCCAGCCCGGGTGTGGCCGAGCCTGCCCCTGGCCTGGGCCGATGGTCTGCGTTGACAACGGCCCAGGGGCCTGTGCCTGAAGTGGACAGGCGAGCCGGGCTGCTCTCACAGCTCCAGCGCACCTGGGCGCCTCTGCCAGCCTCCTGCTCTCAGGAGCGCCTGGGGAGGACAGGTGCAGCCCAGGGGCCGTCCTGGGTGGGACCCCAGCAGGGAGGCAGCTGCAGCCCTCTTCACTGCCTGAGGGGGCCCAGGCTGAACCCCAACACCCCCTCCCTCCCACCAGCAGCAGGGGTGGACGGTACTGTCCACCCTCGCGCCCCCCCAAGCTTCCTGCTGCCACCTACTCTGTCCCAGGCAGGGGGCGCTCTGCCCCAGGTGTTTCTGGGGGTGCCTGACGGCCAGCTGAATCCCACAGGCCCCAGAAGAGCGTGTGGCATGGCTCGGACCCCAGCGGGCGCAGGCTGACCAACAGCTACTGCGAGACGTGGCGGACAGAAGCGCCGACGGCCACAGGCCAGGCCTCGTCGCTGCTGGCGGGCAGACTGCTGGAGCAGACGGCCGCGAGCTGCCACCACGCCTACGCCGTCCTCTGCATCGAGAACAGCTTCGTGACCTCCTCCAAGTAGGGCCGAGCTGGGACGGCCGAGGCACGCACAGGTGGCCGCGGACGGCAGGCAGGCGGCAGGGGCCGCCGGTGCCCCCGGGGACCGTTCCTGTGTGCTTCACGTTTCATGTAATCCTCAAGAAATAAAAGGAAGCCAAAGAGTGTATTTTTAAAAAAGTTTAAGACACAAAGCCTGATGTACACTCTTTCACTCTGCCCCTGGTGCCCTGCCCAGCCCCCCACCCAAACCACCATGGCTCCCCCAGCGCCAGGTGGCACCCGGGACAGCTCCCTCACCCAGGTGGGGCACGCCACCTCGCCCCTGCGGCGGCCCCGGCGGGAACGGGTCCCCAAGCTCGGCACCCCCATAGCCGAGCCCCGGCCAGCAGCAAGGCCGCTGGGACTCCCTGACACCCAGGGCCCGCGTCGGGCCTCCGCCCTACACCGGGCCCACGCGTGACACAAGATCATATCCAGAGCACAGCGTGACCCAGAAGCCCCGACCCCACGCCCAGTGCCCCTCTCCCTGGGAGCCCGGCTGCTCCGTGATGGGCTGCCAAGCCCGCGGAAGTGCTGGCTTTGTAACCGTGGGATGTGATGCTGTCCCAGACGCGCGCTGAATAAACCCACCTTGCCTGGGACGCTGGGCCTGCAGGCCTCACTGTCAGAGCCTCGTCCCCTGCACGGAGGCACAGGTGGCTGCCCGCCCGCAGCCAGCTACCACACCCCGCAGCTCCTGTTTCCCACAGCAGGCTTGGGAAGGCTGGACCCCAAGGAGCCACTCAGCACACACATGGGGCGGGGCCTGCTTCCCGGGAAGGCTTCATCAGAGGCCCCCAGCCCGAGTGCAGAACCCGCCACCTGCCCTGGTAGTTGGCTCAGAGCCATCACGGGCCCAGGTGCGGGGGCTGGGGTGCAGATGGTGAAGGAAGGGGGGGTACTGGCAGAGCCTAGCCCACGGGGTCCTGGGTGGGCAGGGGGCTGGTGTGGGGGGTCCTGCTCCATCCCTGAGGGCTGCCCTCCTGTGATCCCGGCCCCTGCCCCATGTGACCATGGGCGCCTGTGACTTGGGGTCCCTGGCCCACGCCCCCAGCACCACAGTCGCCCAAGGGTCCCTAGGCACAGCTCCAGAGCCCCTCCCCAGGCAGGCCTTCTCTGTCCTGAGGGGCACCAGGGGTCCCTGGATGGAGCCAGGCGGGCACCTGCCCCTCCCCCAGGTCCACGGCCTGTGTGCCACATGGGATAAGCACTGCCGATGCGGCCGGCTCCACCCTCGGGCACGGAGGCTCCTCCCAGCGCCGACCAGCAGGGCCGGCTCATCCACAGGCCTCTGGGGCTGCGGACCCCTCAGCCACGCAGGAAAGCACGCGCGAGAGCCCAGCGCAGCCCGGCAGGCAGGGGCGTCCAGAGCCGCTGCCCTCACACACAACGCAGAAGCTGAACGTGGCTCCTTGTTTTATGTCGATTAAAAAAGATGACAGCGTTGTTCAAAAAGCAAGCACCTCGGAGGACATCATCACAGTTTACCCGGGGGTCTGTGGGCCGTGGGCCCTCCCCGGCCGGCGTCTCGGCACCGTGGCAGCCCCCAGCCCCAGGCGGAAGGAGGCTGGGGGACACGGGAAGCCACTAAGTGCTCCTGGTCCCGGCCGCACGGCCAGCAGCTGCCCCGGGCGCCCGCCACAGTCAGCCAGGGCCGAGGCGAGCAGCGCGGGGACGCAGTCACATCCGAGAGTGGACCTGGACGGCGCCGGCTGGGACAGGTCCCGTCTGTGCTGCCAGCACACGGGCAGGTCAGGCCTTGGCCTCGGGCCCCGGGGCCTGCATACCGTCCTCCCCGCGGTCGCCCGGGAGCAGCGGAGGGGCCGAGCCCTGCAGATCTCCCAGGGCCGTGTCCTGCAAGCACAGCGCCTGCGCAGTCCTCTCAGGGGTCCGCAGCTCCTCCACGCACAGCGCCTGCGCACTCTGCTCCTCGGGGCTCCGCAGCTCCTGAGTCACGGTGGGCACCGGCTGGCCGTGGCGGTGCCGGAAGTGCCTCAGGCCATCCATGACGGCCCCCAAGACGTAGAGGGCGGACAGCACCAGGAAGTACATGAAGTAGACGAAGAACTGGAAGAGAGGCGCAGGGGCGCGGGCTGGGGTGCGGCCGGCTCCCGCTGCACCCCGCCGCCGCACCTCCCCCAGTGCCCATCACTGCCAGGACAGCCCTGGGTCTCCGCCCCGGGTGTGCCCTCCACCAGGGCGCCCGCTGGCAGCCGCCGAGTCCCTGGGCTGCCGAGAGCTGCAGGAGTGGGACCTTGGGGAGGGGAGGACAGGGGGGCGGGGAGGACAGGGGGGCGGGGGGACAACGGGCTGCTCCCTGCACCCACCCACAGCCTGAGACCCGGCAGCCCGGCGCTAGCTGTGGCAGAAGCGGAACAGCAAGGACAGCCAGGCGTCTGCGAGTCGAGGACGCGGACACCGCCCGCACCCGCCGCCTCCCCCTCACGCCCACCCCCAGGCCCCGGTCAGCTCTGCGCCCACATGGCCGGAAGGCCCCTCTAGGACAGCGAGCTCTGCCGGCCACCCCGAGTCTGCCACCCACACCCCCCTGTCCCCACCACAGTCCGGCAGTACGGCGGGGGAGGCCGGGGCCCCACGACCCGGCGCCAGCTCGCTGGCTGGCAGCTGCCCCCTCACCCACCCCTGAAGGGCCAAGGGGACCCCAAGGGGACCCCAAGGGGAGCCGTCGGAGTCAGAAATCGCTTGGCGTGTTCAGAACTTTTGAAACCAAAGGACAAACTCGCGGCAGCTGCTGCCAGGCGCGCAGGGGGCTGAGAGCCGGAGACCCCGACCCAGCACTGAGCTCGGGACGGGGGCACGGAGAGGAGAGTCGGGGGCGGAGGCCGGGCAGCAGGCAGCACCCGGAGTTCTGCACAGGGAAGACCAGACCGAGAGGGGCGCCCCCGCACCGTGGGCCCGTGACCGACATCCGGCGCCTGGGCTGGGGGCTCCGGTCGGGGCGGGAAGGGCTGAGAGAGCCCCGGCTGAACATGCCCCAGAGCTGGCAAGAGACAGCAACGTCCACATGCCCTGTGAAGGTCAAGCCCCAGCACGGCCAACGCCACCACCATGCCGACACACGGTGCCGCACGCCGCCACCATGCCGACACACGGTGCCACACGCCACCACCATGCCGACACACGGTGCCACGGACCACCACCATGCCGACACACGGTGCCGCACACCGCCACCATGCCGACACACGGTGCCGCACACCGCCACCATGCCGACACACGGTGCTGCACGCCGCCACCATGCCAACACACGATGCCACATACCGCCTCCAAAGGCCCAAAGCAAGGAAAATCTGACTTCATGAGAAAAACACGCCACTCTGGAGGAACAATCCCCAAGCGGCTCATCACCAGAGCTGTGACGGCCATGTGCACGTGTGGCCACGCCTCCTGTGTGCAGAACGGACGCCGGGACCTGGCAGCCAGGACAGGAACCTCCAGGAGGGGGAGGGAGGTGAAGAGAAGACGCCACAGAGTCCGACCCCAGCAGAGCCACCAGACAACGGGAGGGCGTTCTGAACTCGGGAGAACCGACGCAGGAGGAGCAAAGACACGGCAAAAACACGGGCAGGAAACAGCCGTCCTCCTTCTCCAATGTGCCAGCCGGCTCGGGTGCCGAGACAGCACACGGGTGCCGAGACACGGCACATGAATGATGAGACAGCACACGGGTGCCGAGACACACCGCACAGATGCCGAGACACGGCACACGGGTGCCGACACACAGCACATGGATGCCAAGACACACACCCTACCACTGCCTCACATGGACCTGTGTCCATTGTGGCCATCTGGGGAGTGAACCAGCGGATGGAAGACCTCTCTTCCTGTCTCTCCCTCGCTCTCTACAGCCATGCCTCTCAGATAAATAAACAAGTCTTATAACTTCCATGCCAAAACTGAGCCATTCATCACCTTTGAGCCTTCCGGCTAAGATCGAGTGTAAAAAGTTGAAACCCATGCACCGTTTTTTCAAAATGCTTATTTCCCACCAATTCTCTGAAAAGCCCCCAGGGGGCGCCCAGAGTCTACCTCGAGGGGAGCTGGATTCTGAGCCAGGGGCGGGATCTGACCCAGCTGACCCGACACAGGACACCGGCAGCTGAATGCTAAGCTGGAGGCCCGCCCTGTGGACACGGAGGTAAAGCGGCACACGTGAGGCAGAGTCTACACTCACATGGTGAGGTCACGAGCGCCCAGCGAGAAGGCGCACTAAGAATACACCAGATGCACAGCAGGTCCGCCAGAGTGCAATTCTGAAACAGTGTGCAAGGAACACGCTGGAGGGCTCACACACGTGCACATATACACACACACATGCATAAACATGCGTGCACGTACACACGTGCAGACGCATGCACACACACATGCACCTAAACATGCATGCACACACACACACACACAAACCTCAAAAGTAAAAAGTAAAGGGAAAGTAAGACAGCAGCAGACCGTGCTCCTGGTATGTGAATTACGCGGAATGTGCACGGCCTGAACACGGGCACCGGCAGAGTGGAGTCTGACGCCTGCTGTGTACAGAGACTCGCTCCAATCTAAGGAGCAGGCGGGCTGAAGGGGGGGACCCACAACTCACAGACAAGCAAGGGAGCACAGGCGTGAGACGGCCCCCTGCTGAGCAACACGCACCAGCCGGCGGCGCGAGCACCGGGACCTCAGCCCCCAACGCACAGCAGCAGAGCTCCAGACGCGGGCAGAGCTGGGACGGCCTGCAGTGACGGTGAGGCGAGGAGCCCCCACCACGCCTGGGGGCCCGGCCCTGCTGCTCAGCGACAGCACAGGACAGAGAAGCTGCAAGACAGACGCAACAGCCTCTGTGGCTCGGCATTCATGCTCAGCCTCCTCTGTGGCTCAGCCTCCTCTGTGGCTCAGCCTCTGTGGCTCAGCCTCCTCTGTGGCTCACCCTCCTCTGTGGCTCAGCCTCCTCTGTGGCTCACCCTCCTCTGTGGCTCGGCCTCTGTGGCTCACCCTCCTCTGTGGCTCACCCTCCTCTGTGGCTCGGCCTCCTCTGTGGCTCGGCCTCCTCTGTGGCTCGGCCTCTGTGGCTCAGCCTCTGTGGCTCACCCTCATCTGTGGCTCGGCCTCTGTGGCACACTTTGCTCAACAGCTGAACCCACATTCTTCCCGTGTCCACACAGCAAATGCCAGAACAGACAGATTTAAAAGGACAGAAGCTACAGTGTGCATTATCACAAAAGAACCAAACAAGAGACCAGTGACAGAGAGATAACAAGAAAACCTCAAAACACTGTGAAATCGTCATGGGTCAAAGAGGAAGCCTCGAGAGATTAAAAACAAAAACCCTGCAGTGAATGAGAACAAACTCACAGACACAGCTGCCGAGAGCAGCACCGAAGTCTCGGACCCACAACCGAAGCTCTCACTCAAGAACTTTCCAGAAAAGGCACAGGCCTAAAGGAAGCAGCAGGAACTAAAGTTTGGAGGAGGCGGGAGTCACACAGGTTGGAAGAAAGGAACTCAGCCGTCCGTCTGCACATGACAAACATCTACACAGCTCCAGGACTGCGGGCTCAGGTGCCCACCCAGTGCCTGCACTGCCCCCTCCCCAACCCCCGTGTCCCCGTACGTGGAGCCTGGGCCTTGCAGGGAACAATCGCCTCACGACTCCTCAGAGACACAGCACCAGGGGCCACAGGGAGCTCAGACACGGCACCAGGGGCCACAGGCAGCTCAGAGACACGGCACCAGGGGCCACAGGGAGAGGCCCGGGAGGACCCCAGGCAGCTCAGAGACATGGCACCAGGGGCCATGGGGAGAGGCCCACAAGGACCCCGGGCAGCTCAGAGACATGGCACCAGGGGCCACGGGGAGAGGCCCGGGAGGACCCTGGGCAGCTCCCAGATCTGGAGGCCTCGGGCCGGCCCACTCACCGCCCTGCCTTCCGAGGTCAGGTGAGCGGCCTGGCCGTGCTCCTCTGTGGGCTGCCCTAGCTGATGCAGACAGCAGAACTAGAACGGTCTCACGACTGCTCAGAAACGAACACCTTTGTAAAACCAGCAGGACATGCCCGTCACGGTGTGCGGTGAACTACACGATGCTGAAGGAAATCAAAGGAAACCTAAAGAAAGGCGCCGTGCGGGGACGGCGTTGACGTCGGCGTCCATCCTGCCAGAGCTGAGACTGGCTGCCCACGGCTCCCGGCAGAATCCCCGCAGGAACTCCCGCAGACACATGCCAAACACGCCCAGGAGGCAGACGCCGGCGGCTTCTGAGCTTTGGCACTGGGAGGAATGGGCCCACTGATTCCAGACCATTCCACAAAGCTTTGTAATGAAGCCACGGCCCGGGCTCCCCTCATAGCCGGCTCGTCACCGAGCCTCAGCACAGGGGCCTCTGCAGGGCTGGGGCCGATGGGCTGACGCAGAGGCAGCGACGGGGGAGCGGTCAGCACCTACCCTCAGTCTCGGGGGCTGGCCCTCCCTGCCCTCTCCCGAGCAGACGATGCAGGGACCTGCGCCAGCGGGACGTCTGCCCAGCCCCACTCACTGCTCCTGCGGGAGCGCAGCCAGGCCACTCGGTCAGCGCCCATGGGACCTGAGTGGCCAGCACGTGGCCACCCACGGGGTGGAGCAGGGCCCGGCCACCAGCCTGTGGGAACACGCCAACAGCTGGCTTGGGCTGCGAAAGGGCCTCAAAGGCAGGAGACCCTGTCGTCCCCGCCTAAGGGAGCCACGTTTCTCAGCAGGGACAGCCCAAGTGCTGAACGCCAGCTCTGCCCCAGGACTCCCGGGTCAGCTCCAGTACACTGAGCATAAGAGCCCAAAGGCCACACCAGTTGGGCAACCTCAGACCCAGAGCCCTTGGGCACCTGCCCAGTGAGACGAGGCCTTGTCCCGCCAGGCGAGGACTCTAGCCAAGGGCATCTGTCCAACCACAGGCTGGGCAGGCAGGTGGGCAGTCAGCGAGCAGCCCAGTAACCACCCCTCCCTCTGTGCTCACCACGTGCTCAGAGATGTGGTGTGGCTGGGACCCCCAGCACTGGATGCGCGAGGTCCTAGCGGCCTCACACCTGGGCCCAGGGTGAGCAGCACAGGTGGAGCCTGGGCAAGCAGAGGCGTGCTCATTCCATGTCCACCCAGTGCCCAGGTCAGGCTGCACCCACCTCCGATGGGCCCCAGCCCACCCCATGGGGACGTCCAGCCCGCCCTCTGCCTGCCTCCCTCCCCAAGGGAGAGACGGAGCACTCACCTGCTCTCTCACGGCCAGGCCAAAACCCCGCTTGTCCGAGACAATGAGGGTGATGATGGTCTTGAGGATGGTGGCGAGGAAGGTGTTGATGCCGAAGACCAGGGCGCAGAGCTCCTTGGACAGAGAGGACGCGATCTGGAAACTGGGCGGGAGGGCAGGCAGGCGGGCTCAGCCTCCTGCAGGACGGGGGCCAGGCCAAGAACACAGGGCGCGCCCGGCCCCGGGACCTGCGAGGAAGCCCGGGGAACCCCAGAGCTGCACAGCCCCTCCCAGGGCCCCAGCCCCACCTCACCCACAGGCTCAGCATGGACCCGGGGTACAACCCTGCCTCTCAACGGGCCCCGCCCAGAGGTGCAAAGCCGGCCCTCACCCCGCCTCTGTGGACAGCAGCCCAACACCAAAACTTGGTGCCCAGGACAAGCGCCTAAGGCCACACCAGGCACCATGTCCCCCAAACTCGAGACCACAGAGGCCAAGGAAGGCAGAGGCACAGGGCTCCTGAAGTCTAACCCATGGCACAGTTCACAACCGTCACAATGCCCTCCAGAAGCTTCCCGTGGGGCACGCACAGTGTGTGCAGTGGGGCTGGCACAGGCTGCTCCGCTTCCCACCCAGCTCCCTGCCGAGGGCCTGGGAAAGCAGCCTGGGAGACCCGGGTGGAGCTCCTGGCTCCAGCCTGGTCCAGCCCTGGCCGTGTGGCCATTTGGGGAGTGAACCAAGCTGATCTCTCTTTCGTCCTCTCTGTGTAACTCTTTCAAATAAGTAAATAAATCTCAAAAAAAAAAAAAAAAAAAAAAAAAAAAAAAAAGAAGAAGAAGAAGAAGAAGAAGAAGAAATGTCTGGAACGAGGGCCTCCGTGGTTGAACAGTCAGCAACTCAGGGAGAGGCCAGAAAGACAGCGGGGACAGAAAGCAAGCGCGGGTGAATCCAGGCCAAAGGGCGAGGCGCGGGCTGCTGGGCCAGGCAGGAGAATTAGCATCTGAATGCAGTTCCAAAGTCCCCGCTAAAGAAAAGGGAACTGGACAAGACCTGCTCTCAAGTTCATCTGAAGAATAAATAAAAATACCCAGGAACCCACTGGAAAGGACGGCGGGGACGCGGGCCCCAAGGGCAACGCAGGCAGGCCAGGACCCAACAGGCCCTGGGGCAGAGCTGCAGGCCAGCCCGGAGCACTGTGGGAGTGGACGCAGTCACCGTGGGGACCACACAGACAGGGAAAGCCACGGTCGGCCGTGAGGCGGCAGCCCACTCGGGTCAACAGGGGGAGCAGGTGTGGCACAGCAGGCATAGCTGCCACCTGAAGCCACTTCCCACTCAGCTCCCTGCTACGGCCTGGGAAAGCAGAAGACAGCCCAAGTGCTTGCGGCCCTGCACGCACGTGGGAGACCCGGATGGAGCTCCCGGCTTCGGCCTGGCCCAGCCCTGGCCATTGCGGCCATCTGCAGAGTTAACCAGTGGGTGGAAGACCTCTCTGTCTCCTTGCTCTCTGTGTAACTCTCACTTTCAAATACACAAATGTATCTTAAAAAAAAAAAAAAAAAAAAAAAAAAAAAAAAACAGGAAAGAGCAGCGCGGAGGCCAACGGCCACTCCAGGCACAGCGGGAATCAGCCTGGCACTCAAGCCGCCCCAGGTCAGCGCTGCGCTGGCTGGAGGGTGCCCGGGGCCACCCCGTTTACCCAACGCCTTCCAAAGCGCGACCCTTTGACCTGGCCTTGTCCTCCCAGGAGCCCCGGGAGGGAGGACACTGTCAAACGCAGGAGATTCGCCCCAGGCCCGGCTGCCAGGGCTTTCCTACCGAGGGTCTGACCTGGCCCCAGCAGATCCCAGGCTGGCTCCGGACAACACCCGGAGGGCAATGCAGAGCTGGAGTCCTCCTTATCTGAGGCCCTGCCCTACCAGAGGAAGCAAGCTGACAGCCACCAGCAAACAGCCCCAGCCGCCTTTCCAAAGTGCCCACAGGCTGGGAGAGGTGGGAGGTGAGCGGCAGGGCAGGGTCAGCCTGCAAAAGCCCAGCCCTGGGGCTGTGCAGACGGTGGTCTGGAGCCTACAGCTGGGAGCACAACCCAACAGCCCAGGGGCCTGGCCAGGGCGAAGCCACAGCAGGCCGTCCTGCCCGGGAGCACTGGCTGCAGGCACAGTGGCCTGCAGGGGAGCCTGCACAGGGGTCAGGGGGTCTGGAGGGCAGCAGGAGGTGCTCTCAGCCCAGAAGGGAGGGGCGCGCCCTCGGGGTTGGGCTGGGACGCCAGGCTCAGAGGTATCCCAGGGGGAAGCGAGGCCCAGGACGGGGAGAAGAGGCCAGAGCCCATCAGGTGGGGCAGAGTGCGGGCTGCGGGGAGCAGGAGCCTGCGTGTGCCTGGTCTGTATGCACGTGCTGCGTGAGCTGAGCATGCCCTCTCCCGACCAGCCCGGGAGGGGCCCCAGGAGCAGGGGTGTGTGTGTGTGCGCGCATGTGTGTGTAGGCACATGTGCACATATACATGTGTGTGTGTGCATGTGCGTATGGACTGCGGGACTGGAGGCCAGGCAAAGAGCACCAAGGACGTGCTCAGGGAAGGGCTGCGGGACCCAGGCAGGCGACCTCGGCCGCTGCTGGACACCCCGGGGGGTCCCGGAGTGAGCAGTGCCGGGGGGCGGGGACTGGGTCAGCTCTAGGTGGGGCTGCAGGGAGGACCCAGGCTGGGGACCGGGGTGGGGGGCAGAGCCTGGGCTGCCCCTGTGGACACCCAGGCAGGTGCGCTGTGGACCAGCAGGCAGGGGGCACCGGGGGCCTGCTGCTTGGACGAGGGAGGACACGCCTCAGCTCAGGCCCCTGGCGCTCCCCGGGAGCCGTCCAGCAGCCCCGACTCACGTGGCGATGGGCACCAGGAACTGGTAGGCGCCGCGGAAGAGAACGAAAGCCACGTAGCACAGCCAGATGCTGCTGTAGGTGCTGAGCAAGACCAGCCCGGCCTGCACGGCCGTGACCCCCGCGATGACCAGCTTCGCCCACGAGGCCCAGCGGATCTTCAGGAAGCCCGCGGCGAAGGACGTGATGGCACCTGGGGGGAGCGGGCGCTCAGGGCCAGGCGGGCGGCGACCCCTGGGGGCACGAGGGGCCCGACCCCCGGGTGGGCCGGGCTGCACGTACCCAGCAGCGTGGAGGCGGCGTCGGTGGCGCCGTTGTAGGCGAGGGTGCTGTCCGTGGCCTGGGACACCTCACTCCACAGGATGTGCACGTAGTACACGATGAGGTAGTAGCCCGTGGAGCTGAAGACCCACCAGAGCGACCAGAGGCGCAGCTGCGGCTGCCGCAGGCTGGCCGCCAGCTCACGCAGCATGCGCACCAGCACGCAGTCCCCGCAGGAGGCCAGCGCGCGCCCCAGCTTCCCGCCCGCGCGCCGCCCGGCGCCCGGGTGCATCCGGTCCAGCTCGGAGGGCGAGGCCCCGCGCACGGGCGCTGGGCGGTGGAAGAAGAGGCTGCGCTTGGGCCGCTTCAGGAAGAGGGCCAGGCCCAGGCTGAAGACGAGGAAGGCCAGCGAGATGTGGTTGAGCGTGGTAAAGGACAGACTGGCCGCGGTGACCAGCAGCTGGCCCAGCACGGAGCTGGTGAAGACGCCCAGCAGCACGGCAGTCCGCGAGTAGCTGGCCATGCGCTGGTACCGCTCGGGGCGCACCAGGGAGAAGATGTAGGAGGAGTAGGCGATGCGTGCGGCCATGGTCACGCTGTAGAACAGCTCCATGAGCTGCATGTGCACCACGGTGCGGCCGAACAGCAGCAGCAGCCACACGCACACGTAGCTCAGGCCCTGCAGCACCAGCACCGGCGTGTAGCGCAGGTAGTCCGTCAGCAGGAAGACCGGGACCAGTACCACCATGTAGGAGTAGGACAGGACCGGAATGATCTGGTTGGTCACCTGCGGGCAGGCAGGGGCCAGGGCCCTGTGAGCCACCGAGCAGGGCCCCGGCCACGTGAGCCCCGCCCCGGGCTCCCTTCACTGCCGCTTCACACGCCCAGGGCCCAGGGGGTCGGGGCACCAGGCTGAGCGGGCAGGGCTGGCCTGGGTGGCGGCCGGGGGCGGCAAGGGGAGGAAGTCGCCAGGGAGCTGGCGACCACCACAGAGATAACCACTGTTGGCTGCGGGTCAGACCGCAGTGCCCACCCTGCTCGTGTTTAACAGGCGGACAAGTTGGATTTCACCTGGAATCTGACAGCGTGGAGAGAGCTGCAGTCAACCCTGCCCCGACACGGAGCTCCAATCCTCACGGAGGGGAGGGGCGGGAAGGCCAACGGCCCCGTGGCCTGGGCACCACGCCCTCACACCACCCCCCAGAGCGAGCTTCAGGCCAGTCCGGTCCCAGCTGGCACACAGCCCACCCCCAGCAGCTCCCCCTGCCCGGGTCCTCTGCACAGCCACGACTCACAGAACACAGAGCTGGGCGTGACGGGCACTGCTGCCTGGGGGACAGAGGTCAGGACGTGCCCGGGCCGTGCTCAGACGGGCACTATGACTAAAGTCTCCACACGCGCAACGAGCCAGCCGGCTGGGGACCAGCGCCACTGGCACCTGGGGGAGGCTGGGCTGTGTGAGGCCCAGCTCCTCGGCCTTGCCCCTCCCCAGGGATGGGAGTGGGAGCCACATCAGGCTTGGCTGAGTCTGGGTGGGCTTGCAACGGACGCACAGGTGGGCCCTGGCCATCTCAGGTCCACCGAACTCGGGCCTTACGCTTGTGCCAACACGGGCCACCATGGCCCCAAGAAGCCAGCAGGCACCTCAGCTCTGTTTCACAGTGGGAATCTGAGCCCTGCGCTGGAGCAGACTTAGCCCCCGTGGGCCACGCCAGCCACACAGCCTCACTCCGGGGTCAGCCCCCGTGGGCCAGGCCAGCCACACAGCCTCACTCCGGGGTCAGCCCCCGTGGGCCAGGCCAGCCACACGGCCCCACTCAGGCGCTCATGTCTGGCATGCCCAGGGCCCGGTGGCCACCCTGAGCTGGTGAGCAGGACTCCAGGCCCAGGCTTGGTAGGGAGACCGCACGTGGAAAGCCTCTCTGAGACTTGGAGGGGGCTGCCATGGGGTGGCTGCCCTGCACCGGGAGGCCTGGGTCTCCCCGGCACCGTCCTGTGCACGTCAGGACGCGCTCAGTGCAGGCCAGGTACCCAGGGGCCAGGCGGCCGTGCTGGGCCAGAGCGCACTGCTCCGGGCAGAACCCCGGGGACAGCCCACAGCCCCTCAGTGGAGGCACGCTTGTGCTCGGCAGGGGGCGGGGTCGCTCTTGTACTCCTGCGGGTTCCAAGGAAGCTGCGCAGAAGCGTGAGAACCCCCGAGTCATCAGGCGCAGGGACCGCAGGGGACACGGCCGACTCCACGGCCAGGGCACAGGGCAGAGCCTGCAGCCCTCAAGGACTTCCATCAAAGCCTGGTGGGAGCAGTGGTCAGGCCCATGCGCCCGGAGAGGGGTGGCCTGGGCCCTCATCTGAAGTGATGGACGCCTCCGGCAGCATGGCCTTTGGCACCGGATTCCTGCGAGTCAGGGAGGAAACCAGCCAGCCCCCGGAGAACGAGCAGCTGAGAGCCGGCCAACGCCCGCCCGCTCTCTCGGCTCTCAGATGGGCAGAGACACAGGCCACAGCTGAGCCCGGGGAAGCCACCCTGAAGGTGAGCAGGAAACTCAGCCACGTCCAGGGCCCACGCAGAGAATTCCAGAACGTTCCCTGAACCCAGCCCCTGAGGAGTCTACCGTGGTCCTCGTACCCAAGCGTCCCTGCACAGCTCACGCCGCCCCGTGAAGCAGCAGGCGTGGGAGAACGTCCCCACACGCGTGAGGCCCCTCCCGCCACAGCAACCACAGGCGGCCTCGAGATTCACCTCCACGGCAGGCTGACCTGTAATCGGATGATTCCGAGTGGCTGCGAGTGATGGACGCAGCCAGACGGGCCTGGAGGAAAAGGTCCCCATCCCCGCTAGAAGCCGGGGTTCCCTCCCGCAGGTGTGACCGTGGGAAGACCAGGCGGAGCAGCGGCACAGCGTCCCCAAGGTGCTCCCAAGACAGCACGGACAGGAGCCTCCCGGTCACACCCAGCAAGGACAGGGCTGCCCCGGACCCCGCACCGCCCCAAACCAGAGGGCTGAGGCCAGGAGACCCACCCCGTGTAGAGCCCCTCGCATGGATCCACTCCTGGAACCCACTTTTTCATCGGCGAGTGTGCGACAGGAGCAGGCAGAGGGGCGGAAGACATCTCTCCGCGTGGCTTTTCTTGTATCGGAGGCTCCGCACACAGGCCTCCCCAGAACCGCAACATGGACAGCGCCTCCGCTGACAGCAGCGAGGCTGCTAGGGCACTGCCGCCAGCCCCAGCCTCCACCCTCAGGGGGAGCCTAGGGCCTCCCCTGGGAAGGGACCAGGCCCCAGGGGGCCGTGCTGGGCAAGGGTCACACACCATCAGAGGGGCCAGTCACAAGGACAGCACTTCCTGGTTTCCAAGTGGGACAGTGCACATGACTCCACAGTTCCAGGATCTGCGAGGGGCAGGGGCTTCCCTCAGAACATGGGGGTGGGTCCGGCCAGAGGGATGCGGTGCCGAGGCTGGGGGCTGGGAGCAGGCGGGGTCCGTGAGACGCCCCACCGGCCTTCTCTCCGGGGACACGGCAGGTCCAGGAAGGAAGCCCCCCAGGTGGCCTCAGCCTGCCCTATGCTGATCTGAAGGCCCCAGCAGGCCCCCGTGTCCTGGCTGAGTCAAAGGAAAATCCCAATACTCTCTTTAGGCAAACAGCTGCCAAGTCTCTGCTGGAAGCAAGCGCCCACAGGGCCGGAACAGCCGAGCGCCAGCCTGGCAGGGGCAGCGGGGTGGGGGCAGCACCCTCCCCTGAGCCCGGAGCAGGCGCGGGCCCGCTCGCTCTCTCTGCAGGATCTGCTCCTGCCGGGTGGAGCCTGCCGCGGGGACACAGGGCCCAGCCGGTCCCAGGGCCCCCTCGTCTCACGTGCCCACTCACCTTCTCCGGCCTCCGCTGTCACCGCCCGCCCGCCCGCCCGCGGTGCCCACGTGCCTGAGGCTGGCTGAAGTTCTTGCTAGGCCCCAGGAGGTAGGGCGTGATGAAGCTCTCCCCCGGCCGCATCTGCGCCATGAAGCCGTAAAAGCAGAGGTAAGACACCAGGCACTGCCAGGACTGCAGCTCGCGGCCCGGCGCGGGCTCCGGCACGGGGTCCTCGGGCTTCTGCTTCTCCACCACCTGGCCGGAGGGCGCCATGCTGTGGCCTTGGGGGACAGGCAGGTGACGGTCCACCTGGAAGGCAGAGCTCAGAGTCAGGGGCTCGGCAGGCAGCCTGTGGTGCCCCCACTTCCCAGGAAGTGGCTCAGCTGGGAGGGCCCGGCCTCCCGCCTGCCCAGTGAGGATCCAGCAGCAGCCTGCGGATGGCCCAGGGCCCCAGAGCCCAGGCCCACGTGCTCACGCTGGGCGGGCAACCTGAGGGTCACGGGAGCTGGGTCTGTGGGAGGCCAGGGCCCCGGACCAGGCGGGCACCAGCGCCAGGGTCTCCAAGGAGAAAGAAGGAAGCCACAGGGGGGCAGACAGTGTTGATTAAAACCAGATTAATTAACTGACTGACCGAAATCCATTCACAAAATGAAAACCTTGGTCTGGGGGCAGCGCAGACGTAGCTCGGGGGCTGGGTAGTGCGCAGCTGTGGCCCCAGGCTAGGGTCTCTGGCCAGCAGGCGCCCCTCCCGGGGTCAGCAGCGGCCACGCAGCCTGGGCCAGGTCTGTGGGAGCTGCTGCTGCTGTCCTGAGGTGGCCCAGGCGGGGGCCAAGCACAGGGCACAGAGGCCCTGGGGACAGGTCCCTCCCAGCCCAGCACAGTTCCGGATGGCGCTGGAGGCGAAGTCCGCCATGACGCAGAGGGGCCTGAGCGCAGCCAGGGTGGGAAACGGGATGGCAGGGGGCACAGCAGAGGCCCAGAGCCGAGCCGGGGCCCTGGGGTCCGGGGCAGGATGTTCCCTGATGAGAAGCAGCCAGAAGCCTGGGCTCGGAGCAGAGCTGACATTCCATGCTAGGCCTGTCCAGCCCAGCACCCCGCGCCCACCTCACAGGAAGGCCGCGCGTCGTCCGGCGGGTGGGCACATATTGGGGCTGCCTCGTTCAGGCCGGGGAAAGGCTCGGGTGCCAGTGGGCCGGGGGCGGGGCAGGAGCACAGCCAGATGCTATACACCGGGCACCCAGCAGCACTCACCCTCCTGCTTCTCCCCAACGTGCCCTGGGTCTGCCGGGCGACCTCGCTCTCAGAGGCCGAGCCTGGTGCAGTCCCCGTGCCCTGGGCTGACCCAGGGGTGGGCAACTCTCCCTGCGCTGGGACGGTGTCCATGGCGGGGCTGGATCTGGGGCAGCCTCCCCACCTCCCAGTCCTGGAGCAGGGACACAGGGAGCTCCCAGGCAGGAGCGGTTTCAGAGGCCCCGCACCCAGGGCCCCGCACCCAGGGCCCCAGGCCCGGGGGCCACCCTTGCTGGAAGAGCTCCTACCCCATAGGAAGTGCTCCTACAGGCCAAGGAAACTGGGGTGAGCTGCAGGGACCCACCAAGGGCGGACCAAGAGTCCCAGGGGCCACAGAACCATCAGACCTGCTCTGGGATCCCCTCCCCAGGCTCCATTTCTGTAACAAAGAAAAACTCCAGGACAATAGGGCACCCCTAAGGAAGTAGGAGCCTGGGGGCGCAAAGGGAGGGCGCTGGGAAGATGCTGGCGTGGACAGCAGGCGCAGCAGGGGCCGAGTTAGGGACAGGCCGCACATTCTCAAAGGGACAGATGAAAACACACAGCCCAGCGGGGAGCCTGCTGCTGCCATGGAAACCAGCTCAGAGGTCACTTCCCCAAACCTGGGGGGGTGCTCGTGGGAACAGCTGGGAGGGAGCGCGAGCTGAGCAGGCCACAGGCCCACTCCCGGCCAGGGGAGAGAAGCACAGCACCCGGCATCGACAGCAACTGCACCGACCCCAGCCAGGCTGCACGGGCAAGAGTTTAACCAAGCTCTCATCACCGGCAGGCCCGGCAGCCCCGCCCGAGGCCCCTGGCCCCAAAGCTGCAGGCAGGAGCGTGCCTCACTCGGCGTCACCTGGAACCCCGGGAGTTCTGGAACCCAGGGAGAGTTCTGAGCAGTGCGAACCCCTCATTTTCTATTCCCCATGCCTCACCCCCTCCCTGAGGCCCCCAGACCTGCCAAGCGGCACTTCTGAAGTGGCAGTGACAGCTCCCTGGGGACCTGCCCACGGGTCTGTTGGAAGGCCTGGGAGCAGCCAGGGTGCTGTCCTCTAACACAGCCCGCGCTCAGGACGCCCACGTGTACGCAAGCAGGTGCAGCCCACCCAGGGCTAAGGGCCCAGACGGGGGAGGGGGAGCCAGCCAGGCCCCGAAACACACAGGGCTGGCCTGGGGGAGGGCCCACGGGCCCCTGTGGAGCAAAGGGGAGGGGGCTGGCCAGAGGTTTAGAGGGGGCCTGCTTGGCGATAGCCCCAAACTGCCCCCTCCCCCTCAGCTCCAGCAGACCCCAGCCTGAGCCTGCCCCTCCGTGTGTCACCTGGGGACGCTGGGGACCCTGGGCCCTGTCACAGTGGGCTGTGACAAGTACTCACCCCGCCTCCTCTGGAATTGAGCCCGCACCTGCCCAAACCTGCACCAGGAGGGCCCTCCCCACAGGCATGTGAGGGTGCCCACAGGCCCCCAGCCCCAGGGTCAGGCGGGGGGGGGGGGGCGGGCAGTGGTTTTGTTTGTGCTAAGAGCCCTTCCCCCCAGGGCGGTGCCTGGGGCAGAGGCAGCAAACACTGGTGGAGAAGGAGCCCCCTCCGCTTCTGCAGGTGTCCCAGAGAGACAGCCGTTCCCGGCTGCACAAGGCCCCACCCCAGCCCAGGCGACCGAGCCCGGAGCCCTCCAGGAGCCTGCAGGGGCGCCCGGTGGGCAGCCTCCACGCTGGCCCCTCCCGCCCCACCCCCTGCTCACAGAAGGCATGGCTGCGGCAATGCTCACAACAGGTGTGGGGCAGCCCGGGCCAGCCCAGGTGGAAGAGCCCGTCATCCTCCCCAGGGCAGAGTCCACCTGCTCTTCCTAACACAGGCCGGGCCAGCCCGGCAGCCCCGAGAAACGCCGGGGTCCCTGTCCTGCGCTCCCTGCAGCAGAGGGTCGGGGAGGCTTCCCCCCAAGTTCCCTGAGCCCTGCATCCCAGCCTCCCGTGGGCTCGGGAGGGAGCAGCCAGGAGGGCCGCATGCGTGGACCAGGCCCTACCCCTTAGAAGGAAGGCTCTGACCGCCCCCCGCCCTGGGCCCCACTGCTCCCACTCGCCGCCTCTGGGGAGTGCGGGCACCTGGAGACCCAGGATCCAAACACAGGCAGCCCGGGCCAACCAGAGAGGTCCCTGCGCGTTCAGAACACCTGCCAGCGAGCAGGAACGCAGCCGGCCGCCCGACCAGTCCGGGCGCCTGGCTCGGGGCCAGCTCGCAGGTGGACTTACAGAGGCACTCTCCGAGAGGAAGCAGTGGCAGCGCCGCAGGGCAGTAGGTGAGCCGAGCAGGGCTCCTCAGCGCTCCCTCGGGGGAGGTCCCGTGGGCAGCGCCACCCGCATTCTGGATCCCAAGTCGGGCTTGGAGTGCACCTGCGTCCCAGTCAGGCCGGGGCTCCTGGACACGGGAGGAGCTCCGGAACGCCGGGGCGTGCCCGGGCCGCCCTCCAGCCTTCGCGCACGCAGGCGTGGGACGGGGCCATGGACAGGCCCCCAGGCGGCCAGAGGCGCGCGCGGGAGCCGGGCCAAGGGGAAGTCGTTCGGCGCCGGCAAAGCACGCGCGGCTGGCAACGCGCCAGCCCCAGCACGTGCTCCGCTCTCCCCGCAGCGCTGCGCCGGCGCCCACGCTAGCGGCCGACCGGCCTGGGGACAGGGGCGCTCGGCTCGCAGCGGTACTCCCGCGCGCGCGCAGCCCACCAGCGGGGCCCTAGTCCGCGACCCCCACTCACCAGGGCGCCGAGACCCCGCGCAGGCTCCGGCCTGCGCCCTCGCATCACCGCAGCGCGCCCACCCCGCACGCCCAGCAGTCCGGGCAGGCGCGGATGCGGTACCTGGGCTTCTGCTCAGGCGGCCCGGACACGCGCGCCGACAGACTACAAGGCCCACAAGGCAGCGCGGCGCGCGGGGTCCGCCGGGGCGGGGGCGGGGCCAGCCGGGACCGGGGCGGGGCCAGCCGGGACCGGGGCGGGGACTCGGCGGCCGGGTGCGCGGGCTCGTGGGCGCGCGTCCCGGTGACTCACCCTGGGAGGGACCCGCGCGGCCGGGGCGCGCTTGCCCGTCCCAGCCCCCGGGACCCCGGCCGCGACCCCTGCCCGCTTACTTGGGCCAGCTGCCTGGGGGCCTCCTTTAGGTCCGGGCTGAGACGGCCCCACGCGGACCCTGGCCCCTCGCGCCCGTCGGCACCCCGCGTGGACCCCGGCCCCTCGCGCCGCCCCCGCCTCCGCCCCCTGACCTGGTCGGCAGGACTGGGAGGGGTCGGCCTCGGGCTTGGATGCGGACTGAGGCCCTTGACCGTGCCAGGCTGGCCCACGTGCTTGGCTTCACCACCGACCCCTCGGGAATCCCACGGGAGCCCCCAAAATAGTCACGGATCACCGCTTCCCTGACCAGCAGGAGGAGGTGAACTGTGGAAACTCCGCAGAAAAGCCTAGAGTCAGAAGTTGCCACTGTCCACAAAGTGAAAGTAAAATGGGGTCACTGCGGCGCCCGCACACCGGGTTCTAGTCCCGGTCGGGGCGCCGGATTCTGTCCCGGTTGCCCCTCTTCCAGGCCAGCTCTCTGCTGTGGCCCGGGAGTGCAGTGGAGGATGGCCCAAGTACTTGGGCCCTGCACCCCATGGGAGACCAGGAGAAGCACCTGGCTCCTGGCTTCGGATCAGCGCGGTGCGCCGGCCACAGCGGCCATTGGAGGGTGAACCAACGGCAAAGGAAGACCTTTCTCTCTCTCTGTCTCTCTCTGTCTCTCTGTCTCTCTCTGTCTCTCTCTCGCTCTAACTCTTGCCTGTCAAAAAAAAAATAAAATAAAATGGAGTCACTCATGATACGCCGGGAGCCGATGTCAAGCTGAGCGCCGGCCAGGAAGAGGCTCCTCCTCGGGCTGAGCAGGCCCCCGGGCAGCCCCATAACCGGGCTGTGGACGACAACCTGAGTGGCCCTCACTCCCGCCCTGACTGCACTGTTCAAACTATGGGCAAGCAGGGGCCGCGCCGACGGGAATATTTGAAATCTGCACAGGCGGGAACACAACCGCTTGGACTATTCGGAATCACCCTGTTGGCACGGACAGACAGGGAACTGCCCAGACACTAGGAGAGGGGGCTTGTGCACTGCCCTCCATCGTCCTGAGGATCGTGGCCCAGTCCGTGTGACCTCCACACGCTGGGAGCGGACGACGACGGAGCCGTCCCCGAGCTGTCCCCGAGCTGAAAGAGCTGACCTCCCCAGCCGCAGCTTCCTGAGCTGTCCCAGCCGCAGGAGCTGTGCCTGTCCAGTTCCTGAGCTGTCACCGGTCTGGCCGACGGACAAAGGGACGGGCGTGTGAGAACCCCTGATCGCCACACATCTGGAGCTGAAGAGGCAGCCCGCTACTCTGCACGGAGCGGGTAGCAGCACAGGCCGACTACGGGACCGAGAGGCCCGCGGAGCTGCCGCCTCGCCGCCTCGCCTGACCCCTTGTCAGCCCGCTGCCAGTCCGGTTCTGTCAGCAGACTGATAAGGGGACCTCTCCAACTCCTCGCCGTGCCATCCGCCGGGAACTCCGAGCCCACTGCCCAGAGTGACGGCCTTCCCACAACTCCCGCCTGTAAGTAACTCATCCGAGATCCGCCTCTCCAGACGCTGAGCTCTGCACTTTGAACGCTGACTCTTTCGTGACCGTGATATGAGCCTAGAAACGCAGCAAGCTAATGTCACGTATGATGGATGTGGGTCATGTGCAACGTAATACAATTATGCTCTGACCCTGCGCTTTGACCCTATTGTGGAGGAATATGTACAGCAAGGCATCTGAAAGTATTATTGGGTGCCTCGAGGTACATACGCTATTATAATTGGACAGCAATGATTGAGGAGTGACAAGAAATAGTCTTATTGTTAAGAGTTGATTTAGTAGTTCTTTAGTATGGATTGCTGTGGAGTTAAGCAGTAGTTAAGTCCTGTTAGAGTAAGTGGTAGTGTGGTGAGCGTGTTGATAAGCGTGGTAATAAGTTAAGCACAGTAATGAGTGTGCTAATAACAGGACTGGACAAGTGTGTGGATGTGGCAAGTGCGTTGACCTCAGCGAGCACGCTGATGAGTGGTGTGGACGCCATGGACTCTCATTGGGAAGGCAGCCCTGTGTCCTGTGTTCCTTTCTTCCCCGTGCTCTGACGTGTCGCTCTAAGCCCTGTCGAGCCGCGTGGCAGCAGGCGCTCGCGACACCCCCCTCCCCAGCTTGCGCTAGCAGCAAGCGGGAATGAGGGGCGGAGCCAGGACTGGAACCCTTGCCCTGCGGTCAGGGACAAGGACACTGGCCACATGGCAGGAATACCCCTCCCCCCGGGGGACCCTCTCGAAGGGGTGAAGCCCTGGAGTGTCCACCCTCTTCCTGGGTGGCAGAAGACCCTGGTGGGGGACAGGGCAGTCTGGCCACTGTTAGCGGTGGGGGGCACCGGGGACCCCCGGGGGCCAGGCCCGGGAAGCAGCCTGGGCTCCTGCGTGAACCTGCTGGGCAGCCGGGCCAAGGCCCCCCAGGAACATGGAGCCCCCAGCCACACAGTCCCTGGGGCTGGCGCGGCCTGCGGGGTTTGGGAGCTGCTCTGAGGGAAAAAGCGGGAGGCCCCGGCTGCCCCTCCGCTAGGTTTTAGGGTTCGAGGGAGACTGGCAACGACTGTCGGGGCAGAAGAGGCTTCTGTTGGGGAAAGGACAGATGGTGGGGGGGGACTGTAGCCCCCCACCTGCCCCCACGCCCGTGGTCCTGGGGGGGTTGAGGTCAGGCAGTGCTCGGAGTCCCTGCTGTGGGCCTGCCGGGACTGATGTCCACCCGATAGGCGGGGTTAGAGCGTGCCGCCAGGCCCCGGTGAGGTCACTCGTTCACGTGTGGGCTGAGCCGTGTGGAGTGTCCCAGGTGAGGGGCTTGCGGAAGCCAGCGCCGGGCAGCGAACGCGGGGCGGTAAAAACTCCACCCGATTTCGAGGCGCTGCTCGGCTCCGTGGGGCCTGGGGTGGACGATTCATGCGTCAGCCGCCTAACAGGTGCCAGCGCTGCGAGCAAGGAGCCGCACCTGCTGGCCTGGGAGCCGTGGGCACAGGGCCGGACGTGGGCAGGCAGGCAGGCGGCCTGGGAGTGAGCAGTCACCCGTGCGGCTGGAGGCTGGCTCTGGCCGTCGTGAGCATCGGCTGTTCTTGTGCGTGCTATCCTTATTTATTAAGATTTGAGCGCTGGCTGTGTCCGGGGCACATCTATGGAGTGGATGGGACAGATTCCCTGGGGTGGGACAACAGTGCCACGCCCCTGCCAGTCACAGCTGCCCACAGCGAGGGTCCATAGGCACACCGCAGAGCTCAGGATAGGCTCCCTCCACCGACCCTTCCTTCCTTCCTTCCCTGCCCCCTGCTGGAGCCTGACCACCCAAAGGCCAGGCCAGAGAGCAGGAGTGAGGGGCCCTGGCCTGGCCTGCTCAGCCACAGTCCTCTGCAGCCACCCTGCCGGCATGCCCTCCCCTGGCGCGAGGTCAGGAGCATCACCACACAGTCCTGGGCGGCGAGTGATGGATGAAACAAGAAAACCTTCCCAGCCTCGGGGTGGGCAGCTTTCAGGTGACAGCCAGCAAAACCCCCAGAAGATGGCTGGACCAGACTCCGTTAACATTCAGCCTTCTGGGTGGGCACTCAGCTTAGCAGGCAACACGCCTGTTCCACAGGTCAGAGCGCCCGGGGCGGGCTCCTGTCTCCAGCTTCCCGCCAGTGCAGGCCTGGGACGCAGCAGGTGACCTCTCGGGAGCTGGGCTCCTCCCTCCCGTGGGGAGGCCTGGGTGCAGCTCCTGGCTGCTCAGTCTGGCCCTGGCCGGCCCTGGCTGTTGTGCGTGTTTGGGGAGTGAACCAGCGGCTGAGAGCTCCCTGCCTCTCTGTATTTCAAATGCAATGAAAATTAACTCAGAACTCGACGCGGCCAAGTGCAGGCAGAGGATATGGAGTGACTGTGGGTCCACTGGGAAGAACTGAGCTGTCTCTTGGGGGGTTAAGTGTGCACCCACCCTGTGGACCACAGCCTACCCACAGTCCTCGGCTTCTTAGCGATGAAGAGGTCCGCACAGAAGCCCACGCACACAGCTTTGTGCCGTGTTTTCTGTAAATGCTGAAACCTGGCCACGGCCTGGATGTCTGCCCTTCCCCAGAGACCACTCGGAATAAGAGGAAGGACCCTCGAGTGGTGCCCGCCAGTCTTCCGGGTGCAGGGTGGCCCCGTGTGGACCTGGGGCGCTGCCAGGGAGCAGGAGGGCTGTGGCAGGGCACACGGCTGGGCAGGCCTGGGGCTCTCGTGGCCAGTGGATAGAACCGTGCCAGCGTGCGCTCCGTGGCATGCTCCCAACAGGTGCCGCTGGTTGCCAGTGAATTGCACCCCAATAAAATTGATTTTTCCTACGACCTCCCCACTGAAAATGGGTGAAAGTTTCCAGGCAGGTGGCCCGTGAGCCTCCCTCACTTGCTGGGTGAGTCAGAGCTGGCCCCAGTGTGCCCGAGCGATAAACAGGAAAGGCATCGGGAGGAGCGGGCAGGGACGTGGGGGCCGGGCATGGCTGCGGAGCTCTGGGGCCAGGCTCTGGCGGCACAGGTCTCCGTGCGACCTCCCCCACATCTTCTCCCTGTGGAGACTCCGCCCCCTGCCCTTGCTCAGGCCCAGCGGCCGCCCTCCCAACTCAGCACCCTTGGGTGTTCCAGGATTGGCCAAGGCGCCCAGGGTGGGTCAGTGTGGACATCACCCACTCACCCCCAGCCCTGCCTCCAAGCCTTCCTGTTCCCAGGCCCCCCACACCCCACCCTCGGCATGCCCCTCCTGGTCCCTGTGGGTTTGGGGCAGTTTCCTCCCTGGGGTGGGGTGACTCCTCCCTCCGCGAGCCCCTGATGGCCCAGA